GGAACTGGGTGTGTGGGACCACTGCAGTGAGATCACTGCTTCCCCACTATGCCGCATGCTGGCAAGGGACAGGCTTTTCTATTCAGGCTGTGGCTGCTTTTTAAAGAAACAAAACTTTGTGAATCTTTTAAATTGATCTGCCTGGAATTTTAGATTTAAACAATAGGAAGTTGACCCTCTTGTGCCTCATGAACAGGCAACCTAGAATGTAATATTCAACCATAATAGCTTTACAATGCAACTTTGCTTTTGAGAAAGCTTACCATTTACAACAAAATTCAAGGCCGATGGAGCTATTGTTGATGCTTGTGGGGTTTATTAAAATTTGTATTTGTTTTATTTTGCAGTTACTTGAAACGGTTCAAGGTAATGAAGCCCAAAGTATTAAGAAGTTGGTGTAGACAAATTTTGAAAGGGCTTCAGTTCCTCCATACTCGGACTCCTCCTATTATCCATCGTGATCTAAAATGTGACAACATCTTTATTACGGGGCCACTGGTTCAGTAAAGATTGGAGACCTCGGTCTGGCCACTTTGATGCGGACATCTTTTGCGAAGAGTGTGATTGGTAAGTCTCCATGTTTGTACTAAGTTTAGCTTAGTGACCTTTGGCATACCACTTCCATGGTAAGTAAAGACTCACTACTCTGGGCACGGACAATTTACATGAATTATGGGTTTTATTTATAACAGGGAGCAGAAATTGCAATCCTCTCTCCACTATAAACTACTAGGTTACTCCATACTGTGTCTGCATTTTGTGGCCCATTTTTAAAATGTAGACCATGATGCTGGAGCCTGTTACCGCCACAGATGTTAGCTGAAATATCAAGATATTTGTGTGCTGCATCAAATGCAAGCCATAGACGGGTCGAAAACCGGCCGTTATTTAAAAAAAAAAAAAAAAAAAATCGGTCATTCAATAGGCCGACATTACCACCAACGGTAAAAAAAAAATCGGCCGATTTTTTCGCCCCGTCTACGGCCGGCATTTATTTACTTCTGTCCCTGCAGAGAGCTGTGCTATTAGATTTAACATTAAAAAGTATTGCGGTTGCAACAATGTATCTATTTGTATCCATTCTGGATACAGATGTTTTTATTCAGATACAAATAGATACATGGTCTTCCTCTTCTTCCTCCTCTTCTTCCTCCTCTTCTTCCTCCTCCTCTTCTTCCTCCTCCTCTTCTTCCTCCTCCTCCTCTTCTTCCTCCTCCTCCTCTTCTTCCTCCTCCTCCTCTTCTTCCTCCTCCTCCTCTTCTTCCTCCTCCTCCTCTTCTTCCTCTTCTTCCTCTTCTTCCTCCTCTTCTTCCTCTTCTTCCTCTTCTTCCTCTTCTTCCTCTTCTTCCTCTTCTTCCTCTTCTTCCTCTTCTTCCTCTTCTTCCTCCTCTTCCTCCTCTTCCTCCTCTTCCTCCTCTCCATCTTCTTCCTCCTCCTCTTCCCTCCTCCTCCTCCTCTTCCTCCTCCTCCTCCTCTCCTCCTCCTCCTCCTCTTCCTCCTCCTCCTCCTCTTCCTCCTCCTCCTTCCTCCTCCTCCTCCTCTCCTCCTTCCTCCTCTTCCTCCTCCTCCTCTTCCTCCTCCTCCTCTTCCTCCTCCTCCTCCTCCTCCTCCTCCTCTTCCTCCTCCTCATCTTCCTCCTCTTCATCTTCCTCCTCTTCATCTTCCTCCTCCTCCTCTTCCTCCTCCTCCTCCTCCTCTTCCCTCCTCTTCCTCCTCCTCCTCCTCTTCCTCCTCTTCCTCCTCCTCCTCTTCCTCCTCTTCCTCTTCCTCTTCCTCCTCTTCCTCTCCTCTTCCTCTTCCTCCTCCTCCTCTTCCTCCTCTTCCTCCTCCTCCTCTTCCTCCTCTTCTCTCCTCCTCTTCCTCTTCCTCCTCTTCCTCTTCCTCCTCTTCCTCTTCCTCCTCCCTCCTCTTCCTCCTCCTCCTCTTCCTCCTCCTCTTCTTCCTCCTCTTCTCCTCCTCTTCCCATCATTGCCGCAAAAATCAACTTTACCGATTAAAAAAAAAAAAAAAAAGTGCCAAAATCCAGAAAAATGGCCAACCAATTAACCCATTAACGGTGTGAAAATCGGCTGATTTTTTTTTCGGCTGAGAGATCGGCCGATTTTCGACCCATCTATTGCTTGCATTAGTCTATAGACTTCCAGCTGAATCATCTTAATGTGATATGTCAGAAAATTATTCGGAATTTGCTGGAAGCCATGGACACCAAGGGGTTGCTTTACTAAAACTGTAGAGTGCAAGATCTGGTGCAGCTGTACATGGTAGCCAATCAGTTTCTAAGTTCAGCTTGTTCAGTGAAGCTTTGACCCAAAAACCTGGAAGCTGATTGGTTTCTATGCAAAGCTTGCACTCTCTAGTTATAGTAAATCAATGTGTCCATAAAACACAGAAGGACATCTGCATCCTTTCCTCTTTTAGAGAGAGATAGCTGGATCGAAATTTGGCTGGTTCTGGGTAAATTTCGATCCATCTAGGGACAGGCTGGTTGTATAGAAGTCGATCTCTTGATTGGCTTTTATAACAACCAGCCTGTCGGGTTTTTTTTTTCTTTTTCCTTCAACCTTCTGGTTGAATGAAAATAAAAATGCATTATTTATAGCCTACCGTAACCCCTGGTTCACAACTGTGTGAGTGGTGCCACTGCGGAACCTATTCAAATACCTGCAGCCGCACCACCCACACAGAGGAATGCAGGACCCACATGCGTGTGCCATTAATTCCAATGGCACGCCGCCCACACTGGAAATCGCAACTGTACTGGGAACCTCGGTTTCCGTGTGGGCTGCGGTTTCCCAAGTAGTGCAGGGACTTCTTCCCTGCGTGTCCCGGGGTATTCAAATGAATGGGCTCTCATGCCCGTGCAATTCGCTGCCTGCACGACCACACAGATGTGAACCAGAGCTAAAAGGTAAATGCTTACCTGTGTGACGGCCCTTCGCCAGCATCTCCATCTGCGTGCCAGTGTTTGAGCCTCTTCATTGGCAGACAAGGGATGACGTCACTTTTGCGCATGCAAAGAAGCCAATCATCCCGGCACTCAGAGACCAGGCCAGCAATGTATGCTGAGCTGTGCATGTGCAGCTCAGTTTACAGCATTGGAGAAGACAGCGAGTGGGCAGGTAGGGGCATTTTCTTTCAGAATAGACATTTGCTTGTCTCTTCTGCAATAAAACCCGCCTGCTCTCTGTTTCGTTCAACAGGAAGTTCAGTCCTGCCTAATTTGTTCAACTAAAACTGTGAAGTATAAACAACACTTTTAGGCCACTTTCAGACAGGTGGATTGCGTTCCAATCAGCAGGGGGATCCGCTCACCATTTCCCTCGTGACTGGAGCAGAGCAGTCAGATGACACATCCGTGTCTGCTCAGTTTCTGCAGGGTAGATAGGGACCGAGCCTGCTCTGACCTATGAATGGCAGCATTGTCAATCTGGAGGGAGGGGAGTGTTAGATGTACTAGTAGATTTAGATACACTAACAAATTGAAGCTGAACTTCAGCTGAAACTTTATAAGCAGTCACAGAAAACAGGTTTTTTTTTTTTCCTTTTACATAAACGCTGATCATTGTAAGCACCCCTGTCAGTGGGAAATGGTTTATCTCAACCCTCTAACTGCTACCTCTGCAGGATAGTCTGTTCTTTTTAAAAATAACAGACTTACTGGCCGGATCACCAGCAGAAAATATAGAAAAGAAAGCCTTAAAAAGAAAACTAAAGCAGACACCACATCTAAGCTGCAATATAATGTTTGCTTTTGGGTTTAATACCGCTTTAAACCCATAGTGACTGGGAAGCTAACTTTGAAGCCTTGTAAGCTGTGTATATTTGATGATCATGCTACAACTGGGGCAGTGAAAGTCATGAGTTTTACTGTGTGGAACATCACCTCCCTTGGTCTAGCATGAGAAATATGCAGTTTGCCGTAGGCCAAAAGTTGCATGTTTTTGCACAGAAAATTAAAAGCCCTTATTGTAGCCGCAAGGGAGTAGAAAATATGTGCACTTTGCCCTGTGACATATCGTACAGATCCATGTAAAGGAGATTGGTTATAAACCTGTTTTAGTACATTTTTTTTTAAAAGGGAAGCTCTACTTTCGTGGAAAAAATTGTAAATAAACAAAAAAAGATGAATAAAGCATATACAACACAATGACACAATGTTATATTGTAATTGAATGTTATTACAATATTACCTTTCCTTTTCAAGCTGCAGCGCTGGTACATAGTTAGTCTGGCTGAAAAAAGACAAAAGTCCATCCAGTTCAACCATAAAAAAAAAATTTATAATCCTATACCCACAGTTGATCCAGAGAAAGTCAAAAAACCCAGCAAACCATGATCCAATTTGCTCCTGCTGGGGAAAAAATTCCTTCCTGATCCCCCGAGAGGCAATCGGATATTCCCTGGATCAATTTTACCTATAAATGTTAGTATCCAGTTATATTCTGTGTATCCAAGAAAGGATCCAGGACTTTTTTAAAGGAATCCACTGAGCTGGCCAGAACCAACTCTTGAGGGAGTTTATTCCACAATACTCCACAGTACTTTTCTCTAAAAATGCAATATTGCAACCTGGAGGCATTCTGTACAAGGATGGTGTACAAGAACGCCCCCCCCCCCCCCGAACCCCAAGAAAAGTCATTTCCTGCTTGTGTGATTGGCTCAATGATTTTCCCAGAAGCCTGCACCAGACTGCATAGAGGTCAGATTGCATCCTCTGCAACAAAAATTTTATTTTTGGTGAAATCCTCCCCAAAGGGAAATCGTGTCTAAAGGGATGCAGACCCTGACACTTTCCTCATTAGAACCCTACAGGTGGAGAAACTGATTGAGAATTTTAACCACCTCCCGCCCGCCATATAGTAATATGACGGACGCAAGGTGGTTCTCTCGTTCTGGGAGGACGTCATATGACGTCCTCCCATTCTAACCGCGCATGTGCGGCTCCCGGAGCGCGCAGCGTGGCAATCAGCGGTGCGATGTGTCCCTCGGACACAGCGGATCACCGATCCACGGAAAGAGCCGAAGATGTCAGCTTGGTCATGTGATCAGCTGTGTCCAATCACAGCTGATCACATGTAAACAGGGAAATGCCGGCTGTCGGCATTTCTCTCCTCTCGAGCGGTCATGCTGACAGCTCGAGAGGAGAGGAGAGCCGGTAATCGGCATTCCGCGGAGGGGACATGTACACTGATCATCAGTGTGCCCTGATGATCAGTGTAGCCCCAGAAGTGCCACCTGTCAGTGCCCATCAGTGCCTTGTGTCAGTGCCACATCAATGCCACATATCAGTGCCTACCAGTGCCCATAAATGCCACATATCAGTGCCACCTTTCAGTGGCCAGTGAGTGCCACCTTTCAGTGGCACCCATCAGTGCCAGTCAGTGCCACCTATCAATGCCAATCAGTGCCACCTATCAGTGCCGCCTATCAGTGCCACCTAACAGTGCCAGTCAGTGCCACCTATCAGTGCCATATATCAGTGCTACCTTTCAGTGCCCATTAGTGATGCCTGTCAATGCCCATCAGTGCCACCTACCAGTGCCTCATCAGTGCCCATCAGTGCAGCCTATCAGTGCCCACCAGTGCAGCCTCATTAGCGCACATCAGTGAAGGAGAAAAATCACTTATTTACAAAATTTTATAACAAAAACTAAAACAATTTTTTTCAAAATTTTCAGTGGTTTTTGGTTTGTTTAAGAAAAAAATAAAAAACCCCGAGGTGATTAAATACCACCAAAATAAAGCTCTATCTGTCACAAAAAAATGATAAAAATGTCATATGGGTACAGTGTTGCATGACCGCGCAATTGTCATTCAAAGTGCAACTGCGCTGGAAATTGGCCTGGGCAGGAAGGGGGTATAAGTGCCCTGTAGGCGAGGGGTTAAATTCACTCTGAACACAGAGACAAACAGCTATTTCTTCAGAATAAGAAAAGGTAGTAATCTGCAACAAAGTTTGTTAAAATCCTTGCAAAGTACATTAATGACCCAGAGGGGACTTGTGGTTTTTTTTTTTTTTTTTTTTTTTTTTTTTGTTTTTTTACTACTTCACGCTTTTAAAAATGAGATTAAACTTAGTACTTTCTTGCTTTTTATCAGTATCTATTATATTTTGACAAAATGCCCCAAAATCTGGGATTAGTTAATGAAGTGACACTGCAAGGGAGGTGTGGAAGCTTGGCCTATTTGCATGAATAGCATTGAGGGGGACAGAACTATTTGGACAGATTTTGTTCCTCGTTTTGTTCTTGCTCAAGCTGTTGCTTTATTGAATTGACATTGATAAGCTGTACGTGTGTTAAAATGGGCTTGCAGGTGAAGGTGATGCATTCTGTAATAATTTCTCTCCAGGAACGCCAGAATTCATGGCCCCAGAAATGTATGAGGAGCATTACGACGAATCAGTGGATGTCTATGCGTTTGGCATGTGCATGCTGGAAATGGCTACCTCAGAATACCCGTACTCTGAATGCCAGAATGCCGCTCAGATCTACCGCAAAGTAACCAGCGTACGTCCGCTTTCTAACATGGTTTTGCTTTCTGCCTTCAATCTATAATGTAGTCTGCTTTAGTTTTCTCTCTGGTGCAACGCACTCCTAATTAAAGAGCAGCCTGTATGTGAGCGACTGTTTTCACCCCTGCTGCCAAAGTGCCTTTTTAATATCGCTCTTGGTTTTATACCTTTTTTGCCTATAAGTTAAAGCTGGCAATTTCTTTGAGGATTTTCTAAACTTTATCAGGCTTCTACAGCAAGGCAGGATGTGTGTGATGGTGCTGGACTGACTGTAATGATAATTGGTTCTGATGGATCTACTGTAAAGTAATTTTTCCTTCCAAGAAGCAGATTTGTGAGTTAAATCTAGTATGGGTGGACCCTGTTCTGGTTCTAGGGAGCTACTGCTCTGGTTCAGCTCTGTGCGGATGGTGCCGCTGCGGGACCCGCACAAATACCTGCACACAGAGGAATGCGGGACCTGCGGGTGCCATTAATGCCCACACTGGAAATCACAACTGTACTTGGGAACCTCTTATACCATGCGGGCTGTGATTTCCGAAGAAGTGCAGAGACTTCTTCCCTGCGTGTCCCGGGGCATGGGAGTCCATTCAAAGGAATGGGCTCTCGTGTCCGCGCAAATTGCAGCCCGCACATATGTGAACCTGGCCTAAGGGAGCACTCACCAGGCTGCAACATTCTTGGATGTGTATGGAGGAGCATCTGGTACAAAAGTTCATCTCACTTGAAGGACTTTTTGAAACAATGGTTAAGAGCATCATACACAGCCAATGTCTTTCTGGGGGTCAGGTCTTCCCCTTCTTCAGGGCTTGAGCAGTCAATATTGTTAAAATCATGAAAAAATGCACTAAGGGACCTGTGGTCAAGTGGTTGTAAATTCTTCCATATACCCAGTGAGTTGCCTGGTCTTAGATGATACACAGATTAAACAAATCATTCTATATAAGTTGCACCTGTTTATCTGCAGTCTTCTCTACATCTGTTCAAAGTCCAGAATTTATACAGCTTGTCTGAGATTTGAGAAAAAAGGAGGCAGAGAGCTGAAGTTACACTCTGCAGAGCTCAGTGAGTAGAGCTCTGAGAGCTGATTGGAGGGAAGAGACACCCCCCCCCCCCCTCCACCTTCCCTTCACCACCCCTCCCCCTCCCCTCCACCTTCCCCTCCACCTTCCCCTCCACCTTCCCCTCCACCTTCCCCTCCACCTTCCCCCTTCCACCTTCCCCTCCACCTTCCCCTCCCTTCCCCTCCCCCTTCCCCACCTTCCCCTCCACCTTCCCCTCCACACTAGCTCACAGGAACAGAGTTGAGGCTGTCAATTTGCCAGAGGTCCCTCCCGTCACCATTTTTCTTTTGGCGTCAGGAAAATTTGTCAGACTCATGCATATAGCAGAGAAATGAAGCAGCAGACAGAAATGACAGTGCTGTGGATTGAGACAAGCACACACTATAGAGGGATATGCTTTGTTCATATTTCACATCTGAGCTTTACAACCACTTTAAGGCTCGAAGACTAGCATCTCCTGATGGGCAGTAAAGACATTAAACTTTAAAGCGGAACTTCGCCTGAAAGAGCAGGTTCTGCTTTATGCCCAAACCCCCCCCCCCCCCGCCCTCCCCTCCCCCAAACACCTTGTGGGCATTTTTTCTTGGTGGTAGGAGCCGGTATCCACTTTTGGCAGGTACCTACTCCTGTTTCCAGTTGGATCGCCTAAGTATTTCCTCCAGAAGTTTGGACTCCCCAACCAAGCAGCCCGCCCACCCTGTCCGCAACCTCTTGGGACATGTCAAAGGTTTCAAGAGGTTGCAGGACCATTCATACAGCACAATTGAAAACTGGCTAGCCACAAGATAATTGCCCACACTAAAGATGATAGCAGCGAGCAACCGTCTTGGGTAATTTTTTGCAATCATGCAAGAGGTTCCATGTACACGGGAACTTTTGAGATGGGAAACTGTTGGAAAAACATAGGCTAAAAAAAGGACCGCGTTTCATACCGTGTTTTGAGCGTTTATGCACATTTAGAAGTGTAAAGATAACCTCAGGAGACCTTCCAGCCTAGAATGCATTTGAAAAACAGAAAAAATTAACATTTTTTTGAGATAAATGGAGAAGCAGAAGCAGAGAGAACAGTTTTTTTTTTTTTTTTTTTTTTTTTTGTGGTGTTTGATGTGTTCCAGCTCATTTCTGTGCAGAAATTATTGCAGCCGTGTCTAACATTTTTTTTTTTCACCAAAAGTATAGTGTACCGGGTCCATTTGAGTACCGGGAAGATGCTTTGCATGCATTTTTCATGATGAAAAAAGGCTCTGGACAGGATCTGGAAATGGAAGAGTTAAAAAAAATGTTTTCAAACGCAAAAGCCTATAAACGCGGTTAGCCACGTTTACAAGCATTTTGCATTTGAAACGCTGATAAAATCTACTGAATGCAAGTTTTCTGCGTTCACAAAAACGACTGTAAACTCAACTGCCTGTAAACGACGATGGACACATAGGAAAAATATTAGGGAGAGTTCAGGGGCTGCTGAAAAAAACGTTGAACGGCTCCTAAACGTGAGTGTATCAGCTGCAGTGTACATGGAGCCTAACACAGGTGCCTTAGTGCATTCTGTCGTGATTTTATGAACATCAACGGCTCAAGCCCTGGATAAGCGGAAGGCTTTTTTCCGCATTGACTGTATTTGATACTCTTAGCCATTAAATGTTTCAAAAAGTGAGTGGTGAACTTTTGTACCTGGCGTTCCTCCATACACATTCAAGAATTTACCGATTAAGAGATGATTTGGCAACTTTCCCATTTTGTACAATCTCATAGCTGCACAGTAGGTACGGTGAACATACCAAATTTGAATTCTCTTATCATTAAAAGAAAATGACTGGTGAGATAAGTGTGGGAGTGCTTCTTATTTGTAATTGTTGTGTTGGCATGACAAATGCTAATGGAAAGATAAGCTATAAAACATGCCATCAGATTGAGAGATGCTAGCCAATGCTTTGTAGCCGAGGGTTTAATGGAGACCTGTCCTGAGGCATTTCTCAGCATTTTGTTCAAGGGTAAGTTCACCTTTTCCGAAATATTGCCTGTGGAGGTAAGGGGCGTCTGCAGATAACAAACTGTGCAGCTTTGACCAAAGTTAAAGTGGTTGTAAACCCTTAGATATACCCAGTGAAGTAACTGGCCTCAGGTGATACACAGATGAAACAAATTTTCCTACAGAAGTTGTACCTGTTTTTCTCTTCTCTACATCTGGTCAAAGTGCAGAATTTATGAAGCTTGTCTGGGCTTTAAGAACAAAATGGGGCGGAGAGCTGAAATTACACTCTGCAGTGCTCGGTGAAGAGAGCTGATTGGTGGGAGGAGACATGCCCCCCCCCCCCTCCACACAGCACACAGGAACAGAGCTGAGCCTGTCAATCTGCTAGAGGTCCTTCTCCTGTCGCCCTTTTTTTCTGTGGGTTTCAGGAAAACATGTCAGACGTGACTCATGCTGATAGCAGGGGAACGCTTTTAGAGGAGTTTAGCGTTTTGCCTGTAGAAGCAACTAATGTTATCCTCAGGGGCGGACTGACAACTCATGGGGCCCCGGGCAATAAGGGATCATGGGGCCCCTGTGTCCTTGCCAAAACTCAAAATAGCCTATGAAAAAAAGTACCAGGGGCATCTCATGGGGCCCCTTACTGACCCTGGGCCCTCAGGCAGTGCCTGAATCGGGGGCGGAGTGACAACTCATGGGGCCCCCGGGCAATAGGGGATCATGGGGCCCCTGTGTCCTTGCCAGAACTCAAAATAGCCTATGAAAAAAAGTACCAGGGGCATCTCATGGGGCCCCCTACTGACCCCGGGCCCTCAGGCAGTGCCTGAATTGGCGGAGTGACAACCCATGGGGCCCTTGGGCAATAGGGGATCATGGGGCCCCTGTGTCCTT